ATATATATATATATATATATATATATATCTATATCTCAAGGCTAAAAAGATAAATATAAGATAAACATATATTAGGATGCACATATATTGATGCACTTGCTCTACAATAGCTTAAAAAGTTGATATTTTAGGCTACTGTAGAAAAATGAAATTAAAATCAAGTTAAATATTTCTGAAATGTTTTTTTTTCTTAAAACAAGTACAAATAATTAGTCCTTTTCATGCAAAATATATAAAATAAAAGATCACATTAAAATCAGTTTTGCTAAATCATTTCAGATATTTGATAAATTCCCCATCCCACTAGTTCAAGTGCTCACATAAACGCTCCACATCTCACATAAATCTGATCGTTTTTCTCCCCATTTCATGAGACGACGATTAGATACTAAAACACTGTAATTAAATCTCTTTCTGAGGGTTTGCCGGTGGTAAATGATAGCAATTACTGTATAAAAAACACACAGAGGCAGGCAAAAGATAATATCATAATCACATTATACAGTTAGGATCCCTTTTCTTCCAAAACACAGCCATGCTCCGGTTCAATAGTAGCAATTCAGTTTTATTTGTTGTACCTTCGCAGAAAGTTAATATCTTTGCTGATTACAGAAGGGCTGAATAGTAAGCACGCATGGTATATAGAAAACACAATTCAACTTAATAATAATAAAGTATTTAGTATTTATTTACATTTGGGCTGAGAACAGAATCATTTAATTCAAGCTACTATACTGGTTTTGGACACACAGATGGCTTTTCTGTCATTCAGTAGTAGACATTTGGATTCCTTTTACGAAATACTTCACGTTCACTGATAGACAGATGCATTCTGGGCTCAAAAACAGACACATTCGAGTGCTGTGAAAATGGCGTGTCACCATCGCTCGTCTTGTGAACACGATACATCAGGATTAAGGTGTGTGTTGTGGTAGCGATGACCTTGTTTGTCAGCTTTAACGGGTTAAACATGGAGAGTTATTGTGTAAGCGTTGCAGGTGCACGTACATCGCACCGCATGAAATCAAAGTGCATCAGCTGGTAACTTCAACGCGAGCCACCGGCCACTGAGAATACTATGAGCGAATCTGCCGACGAGCAGCGTTTTTCCTGCTCAGCGTCAGCCGAACGGCTTCAAGCCTGTAACCTACGCTTCTTAGGCACGGATTAAAAAAAACAAGGCACCTCTAGCGTCGAAGCATCAACACTGTCCCGAAAAAAGAAAGCAGTACGTTTACACACAGCAGCATCCGGCTCTCTGCTCTCGTACTCTTTGAGCTGGAACTAAAACAACTAAATATTCCCTTATTTTAGACATCAGAAGGTCTATGTACAATACAGTTCGAATGCATTAACATTCAGAAGGAAAATGTGCTTTTTACATTCAGAGGGAGACGTCTCCACTTCAGTTTTGTGGTGTACGATCTGCGCTACTCTTGTGAGAAATAAAAGGCTTTTTTTTCAATAATAACAATACGGTAAGAGCTAACACAATAACAATCATAATTATAATAATAATTCAAATAAAATAAAAACTTTTTGTTTCACTAGCTATTGCCTCCTGAGATGATGGGCTCCTGCTTTGAATTCTGGGAAAGGGCTGCTGAAATGTTTAGGTGAAAGGTAAACAGCGTCTGGGAACGAGGGCGAGTGTGTGTTTGAATAAGAGTGCTGCGTTTGATTGAACAGGTGCAAACATTCACGGAAGAGGGCAGGTGATTCGGGAGGAAAAGGAAAACCCGAATGGGAGCAGGAGGAGGGAGTTTTGAATGCTCTCCCTCTGCTGTGGTAATGAGATGCTATCAGGTGACGCTCAGCTGGGCGAAGCCAATCAACTTCACCTCGTCTGGGATCTCTGTGCTGTCACAACCAGACGCCTGGAGACACAAACACAAAGAAACAAATGCATGTTAAT